AAAAAAAAAAAAAAGAAAGCACTTAAAAGAAAAGGAGGAAGGATTCAGTCAGTTCTGAGCCTCAGATAGGGGCTTAGAAACTAAGGAAATATCTTTGCCTGAAACAGTGAGAACTGCCTTCTTCCAGAGAAATGTTACCATAGAATTTATACCATCATAAAAATAAGTGTTATGTGTATTTTACCATAATTTTAAAAAGTATGCCATCATATAATAGACACCTCAAAGGGCAGACAGTTGTGAAATCTGCAAACCCTTATGGAAACAGATGCTCATTTACCTCTTTGACTGAGAATTCCTTCAGGCCTAAATATTTCTGGAGTCTCAAAGGCAAAAATGCAGTCGCTTTCATGGACTGTTTCCAGGTCGTCAGTGTCACAAAAGGAACGATGGAACCCATCATAGTACATTTCCGTTAACACAATCTAAAAATGGGAAAAATGTAAACAGTTGGGTAACTGGAAAGCCAATAAGAATTGATCTCCCGATTCTACCATGAGCTTTTGCAGCCCGTCAGGGCTTGCCGGGATGTGAGAGGGCTCTGAAACATGTCACGGAGCCCACACTATCTGCCTTTAGTAAGCGAATTGTAGAAGCACGATATCCTCTGTAAATTTCAGAATGCTATGGCACTGAATCCAGAGTTCCTCTAAGTTTTCGTGAAGAAGAGCCCCCAGGAAATGACAAAGTATAAGCCCCTTGTCTCACAAGGGGAAGAAACTGAAGAGAGGTGGGAGACTTGCCAACAAGTATCTGACTATTCAGTCTTGCAGCAAGCAGAGTCCACATCTGATTCCAAGACTTTCTCCTACATCAGTAACTTTTCTTTGTTTCAGGTTAAAAAATGTCATACAACCACGGATTTTGTAATAGGAAAAAAAATGAAATCAACTCAAATGTCCAACAATAGGAACTAGTTAAATATATTATAGTCCTACTGTAATTACAAAGAATGAGCCAAATATATTTGCACCAACATGGAAAGATCTCCTAGTTAAATAAGATGTAACATAAAGAATAATGTGTTAATCGATTCCATTTTTATAAAATAACAAATGTAGTATATGCACAGGAAAAAATAGGAGTGAATATACAACACAGTATTAGAGTTAGTAACTCTTAGTTCTAAGATACTTAGGACAAGATACTTCCACTTTCTAAGTCCTGTTTCTGAAATGGCTGAGTATTTCACAATAAAACAAAACAAAACAAAACAAAAAAGATGGGGAAAAAAACAATGGAAACATTTAGATGCTCATTACATGCTCAGCAGCACTGTCTAGAGAAAAAGCACTGGATTGGGCATGAAGAGGTTCCAGTCTCAGCCTGCCACCAACCAGCCCTATGCTCTTGAACAAGTCACATGGTTTCTCTGGGCCTCCTTCAAATGAGGGGGTTGGAAGGGACCCCTAAAATCCCCTCTGCTAATGCAAACATACTATGAGTCTGTGAGGTGAAAGAGGCTGGTGGCACACTCCACAAATAGTCCAAGAAAAAAAATATCCCTAGCACATTTTTCTTCTGATGAGTTTAATAACCACATTGTTTTTCTGCAGGTGAACATGCAAGATAATTTATTTTCTCCAGCAAGCTAAGGTCAAAAACAAACTTGTAATTCTATCAGCCATTTAAACCACATGCAAAAAGAGCCCGAGAGCACTGGAAGCTTTAAACGTACAACCAGGGGGCGCCTGGGTGGCTCAGTCGTTAAGTGTCTGCCTTCGGCTCAGGTCATGATCCCAGGGTCCCGGGATTGAGCCCCACATCAGGCTCCCTGCTCTGCGGGAAGCCTGCTTCTCCCTCCCCCACTCCCCCTGCTTGTGTTCCTTCTCTCGCCGTGTCTCTCTCTGTCAAATAAATAAAATCTTTTAAAAAATAAAGATACAACCAGATCTGCCCTGCACACACAGCTCAGCCTGCCTCCCTCTTTCAGTCTTACCCCTCATCCTAAAGGGAAAAAAAGAATCAAAAAGCACTTGAGAGTAAGGAAGAATATGAACATTTTATCAACACACCAGTACTTGGCCTATGAAAATATGAGATATTCGCTATATTAAGGTAATACCACTGGTTGTATTTGTTCTACTGTGGTAACTTCCCAAAAGAAGCCACATGAGGCCAACGTACAAAACACCTTTATTAATCATGTGATTACATAGCAGCTTCCAGAAGCTACCTAGGGAAAAGTTATTCTACCACAGGATCATCTTTCTTAGTAAATCTAAAATAAGAAACATTTTTCTAAATAAAATCATAATAGTGAATTGAGTAAAAACTGTATGCAAAAATGTCAAGTAACAAATAGGCTAAAAGTATTTTGGGTCCATTTAAATATAACTACTTATCAAAAATTTACCCAAAAAAAGAAGGCAGAAGGGGCACAACATTCCTTGTGAAGGGGCACTTCATCTAAATGAAGTGAGTCTCTGACCCAGCTTTAAGCAGGAAGCCAACCATATTGAGCATCTGTATGTACTGTACCAGCAAGAAGATATCCAATCTTATCACCACAATGGAAAGGGGTTTTCAAGAGCCACTAGTGGAGTTTTCTAAGCCTCTGTGACCTTCAAATACCACAGGGATGCTCTTCCTATTGCCCACATAAGCATCCATAAGGCTAGTTTAAGAGAGGCTGAGTAATTATACTTTATAAACAAAGCTAAAAGAAGGTCTTGGTGTCAAGTCACAGCTTTGCTTTTAAAAATATATGTACAATTAAATGAAGCATGAAAAGTTTTGATGTACATTTTCCCTCTTTGGGTCTTGATTTTTCTTTCCTCAATACAGACACAACTGGTTTTACATTTCTATCTAACCATACTTGGCAGAGGACTGTTAGAAAATTCCAGGAAAACAGAAAGCAACACTTTTATGGCTCATATGTAATTGGCCTGAGCAGGCTTATTACCTGATCAGTGGGGATCTTTGTTTCCATAGACACTGCTTCCCGAAGCCTGGCGACAGTCCCAGACAGAGGCACGGCCACACCAATCCTCATGCAGTGAGAACATTTCCCCTGATACACTACGGTAACATAGAGAGGCCTGTGCAGATCAAAGTCAGATCTTCTCATTAGGCACTTACTTCAACTAAAATACAGAGGCAAAACAAACCTGATCTGAAATTAACACAAAACTGAAGCTAACCCACACCTTTATTTGGAAGCCAAAGGGGAAAAAAAAAAATCTCATCTGGACCTAAGTGGAACCAGAAAACAATAATCAAGACATCTCTGGAAAAGGCAGTCAAACAAAATATAACATATCAACACTTGATTCTGTGGTTTGAATGTTCTTTACAACAGCATTAACTCTCAAAAATTTTGAAAAACAGTTCAAATAAAGCAACTAATTAAAAGTGCAACATAAAGTCTCTAGAAAATCTAGAAGGCACTCAACAACCCTCCCCCTGCCCCATACTATCAGTGGATGAGCAACTGAACGGACGACAACCACAGGGACTGTAAAAAGACGCTTGCCCCATGTGCCTGCTCACCCTGCACATTCAGACCAGGATTTATAGACTTCTGTAAGGTTTTTACAATGCCTGTATTCAAGTTATCACTAATCCCATTACTTGTCTCAGTAAGAAAGGAGCCCTAACAGGAGCCTACAGAGGAAAGGAATACACAGGAATGTACAGTCTTAATTTTATTACATCTGTTCTTACCTTGTGTGGGGTAGAGGAATTGGCAAAGAAATGCAGAGGAAAGGGTCAAAAGTGTTGCTCTGCTTCTGACAGTGAGGACATGTCAAAGAAGATCTTCAGAAACAAAAACGAAAGACACGCACAGTAAGATCATCTAGAGCTATGTCAAGCAGACCACGTAAGAGACAATTTGATATGCTCATACCTGTACTGGGCTTGAAAAAGTTCTTGTACAAAAGTGCTACAGACAGGAAAAGATGGTCCCTCGGGCATCATATCAGTCTCTGACGGTGGCTAAAAAAAGGGAAAGTACAATTTCACACGTTAGAAGTACCAGTTCTTGATGGAAGATGAACCTGAAACAGTCACAAATGTCCTTGACTTCCTCTACAAGCGGTACATCAGGTCTGGATGTTCCCGTGAAAAGGATGTGCTCCAGGCATCGGAACGCAGCGGCCAGGACGGGGTCACGAGGACGCATGTCACAGGCTCTCCCACAGACCGTGCCTGTGCTGGTCTCTCCACCCCGCCAGGCAGTCCGGCAGTCCTTCCACAGGGTGCTCCCATCTCCCTCCAGCTCCGAAGGTCTCCCTCTGGCCTCTTTCAGGAAATAACCCTAGCCACGGTGCCCACCTGCGCAAGCCCCTACCCGCTGCACTGCTCGCTGGGATGCCCAGCCACTCGACGGCATACTGAATTGGCCTTTTCATGTCCACCCACCCAATAATTAGTCACTGAGCACCTGCAGAGAGCCCCGCAAAGGGCATTAAGACACAAAGATAAATAAGACATAGTGCCTGACCTTAAGTACATCTCAATCTGGTGGGAGAGCCAGCCACAAGCACATGGTCCTAGGACAGTACAGAGTGTCCGGGCACAGAAGGACCTTGAATCAGAATTACTTAACACCTTACAAAACCACAGACTGAAATTTCGAGATACAGTGCAGAATTAACAAAAACTTTAAAAGTGGCAAGAGAATAACAACTCTTTGGTCTTAATTATTTCCATTATATAAATCATTTTACCAATCATATTAAGGTTGCATGCATAAAAATTGAGGATGAATCACCGTTTCTTGGTAGAATATTCTAGGGGTTCAGTTCCTATACTCAAATCCAATTGTAACAGCAAAGACCTCCATTCATTTCCTTTTTGAGTGTGTATTCATTTCAGTGAGCTACAAGGCTACATGTCTCACTGCAAAAGAAACCAATTTCTGCTTTAAAAACAGCTTAGTGAACTGGAATCACCTGACTGTAGTCTAAAGCTAGTCATACATGCAAATATGTCCCCTCTCACTAGACTCTAAGTTCCTTAGACACAGCAACTCTCTTATGCTGCCAGCAAGCAGTAAACACGGGAAAACTCCTCTAAGTATCCCTGAATTTTATACTCACCCAGAGCTTAGTTGATTTCACTGTATTAACTAAATGCAAACTGCAACAACTCCTCAGTGGAGGTTTGAGAAAAGAATCTACACTCACTCCATTCACTAAACCACCACGGAGCTCCCTGCTCATGGCTCCTTGGCTGCCCCAGCAGGGTGCACACCCTCACCTTCAGAGGAGGCTGGCCGCTCTGCTTCACAGCATGATTGAGGTCTTCATGAACTCGGTCCAGAAGCCACAGCAGAAACTCCTGGGCGTCATGCTGGGAATTTCCCCGATATTGCAGTGCGTTCTTTGACACAATACTCTACACAGGTAAATAAATCAAAGCGCCTAGTTGAGTTCCTGGCTTTAAAGATGAACTATTTATAATCCCAAAGAGGGATGCAAAATCTCAAGGGTGTTAGAATAACTTCCTAGAAAGACAGCAATATAAAAACAGATGCTTATGTGAAAACCCCACCTCAGAAACGTGTACAGAAGACTTCAATGCACCTACCCAACAATCCTACTTTGAGGAATATATCTAAAGAAACCATCAAACAGCATGTCAAGACTTCTAAGAAAATATTCATTCATCAGGCTTTATAATAGCAAAAAGGTGGTAATAACTTGAACATCTTAAAAATGAGAACTGGTTAAATAAGTAACATAGTATTGAATTATAAACCCCAGTATGAAATAAACACATCTATAAAACATAAATGATTGAGTAAATAAATAAGAAATAAGTCTTCCTTATAGAATTCCAAATAATCAATGTCAATAGTTTCCTCTCAGGAGATGGACCTTAACCTTCTACCTTGAATAGTGACTTGCTTCCAAAGACTAGAATATGGAAAGAGCGGTGGCCAATGAAAGGTTCTCAGTGAAATGGTTAAGTTCATGGCTCTGGAGCATAAGGCCTGGGTTCAAATTGCTCTCCCACCACTTGTATTTGTGAGACCGGGGCTTACTCTCTTCCAAAGTAAAAGGGAGAATGGTAATTTAATGTGGTGGTTAAGTAAGATGCATGCACAACATTTCACATGTAAGTAAGATATAATAAGCACTCAAATTTCAGCTGAATATGGGATTTGGAAGTAGGGAGGAAGAAGGGGACACAACTGCACAAAGGGAGGGCAGTGAAGAGACAAAGGCACTGATGAGGCAAGAAAATAATGAGGATCCAAGCTAAGGCAGTGAGGACAGAAACATGAAGGCAGACCTGAGAGATTTAGGAATTTAGGCAGTAGACTCAGTAGGATTTGTGACCTAATGAATGGGGACAGTGAGAAAGGAGGCATTAATGTCCCCAAGGTGTCCTATCTAGATGATGAGCAACTGATGGTACCCCTCATCAAGACAAAATGAAAAAGAAGTCTGGGGAAGATGATAATGGGTCCCCTTTCAAATCCACTGCATTTACAGTTCTGTGGAACCTCCAAGTGGAAGTACCTGGTAAATAAATGAAGAATACAGATCTGGGGCTCAGTGGAAGAGTGCACCCTAACGACAAAGATTTGCGAGTCAACAGATGGGTGGTAGTTGAAATCATGAGTATAGCTGAGATTGCCCAGACATGGTCATGAGAGATCAAGTCAGAGAACAAATATATTTGGGGGCCCTCAAAGGAGACCAAGAAAAGGCCACCAAAGACATGGCAAGAAAAGCAGGAGAACAGAGTCTCAAGAGTCAAGAGAAGAGGGTTATGAAGGAGAGAGTGATGAATGGTGTTAAGAATGATAAAATAGGACAAAGAACTAAAAACTGTCCACTGCATTTTCCAATTAAGATGATTATAGGGGAGCGCCTAGCTGGCTCAGTCAGTGGAGTGTGTAACTCTTGAGCTCGGGGTTGTGGGTCTGAGTCTCACGTTAGGTATAGAGATCACTAAATAAAATATTAAGGGGTGCCTGGGTGGCTCAGTTGGTTAAGTTCCAACTCTTGGTTTTGGCTCAGGCCATGATCTCATGGGTAGTGGGATCGAGCCCCGCATCAGACTCCACGCCCAGTGGGGAGTCTGCTTGAAGATTCTCTCCCTCTGCCCCTCCCCCCACTCACTCCCTCACTCTAAAATAAATAAATAAATCTTTAAAAAAATATTTAAAAAAAAGAAGGGACAGATTTATGACTTGATTATGAAGAACCACCATAACCTGATGATCAGTTAAATGTGAATGATAACAAAAAGATGATTTATGAAGATTCAAATTCAAGAGGAAAAAAATCAAAGGGACACAAATGAGAGAGAAGACTGAAGTGTCAACTGGCAAAATTTATTATTGGATAAAGTGAGCAAAGGAGAAGAAGGACCCTGATAACAAAGTTTCAGTGACTAGAAGGATACTACTTGAATGCTATCTCAGACAAAGGTACACAAAAGGAGAAATGGGTGTGGGGAGTCTTCACTATACTACAAAACTTCCCCCAGGGTCAGACACCACCTCAATCATCAAATCCAGTATTTTCTTTCTTGGGCTTTACCTTCCTCAATCCCCTGTAGCATTTTATACCTGACACCTTACTTCATCTTGAAATAGTTCGGCTTGTGGCCTTATGCACTCATTTAGGAGAATCAAAGCCAGAGCCATTTGGTGTGGACAGTGGGAAAATGTGAGCTACAGAAGAAAGAGAAGATTTCCCAGTAAAGGGGCGCCTGGGTGGTTCAGTCGTTAAGCATCTGCCTTCGGCGCAGGTCATGATCTCAGGGTCCTGGGATCGAGCCCCGCATCAGGCTCCCTGCTCTGCGGGAAGCCTGCTTCTCCCTCTCCCCCTGCTTGTGTTCCCTCTCTCACTGTCTTTCTCTGTCAAATAAATAAATAAAATCTTTAAAAAGGAAAAAAAAGAGAGAGAAGATTTCCCAGTAAAGAAAAAAAAAAGACCAATAAAAGCCATCAGCACTAGCAGCATCCCTGATGGTGTGGCCGACTCAGGATGGAAAAGAAACAAGTGACTGGTAATACCATACTAAGGGATACAAAGAAGAAATGAGGGAGAGGGGCGCCTGCGTGGCTCAGTCGTTAGGCATCTGCCTTCGGCTCAGGTCATGATCCCAGGGTCCTGGGATCGAGCCCCGCATCGGGCTCCCTGCTCCGCGGGAAGCCTGCTTCTCCCTCCCCCACTCCCCCTGCTTGTGTTCCCTCTCTCGCTGTGTCTCTCTCTGTCAAATAAATAAATAAAAACAAAACAAAACAAAAGCTCTTTAAAAAAAAAAAAGAAATGAGGGATGACACCAAGGTTTTTAGTATCTGATTTAGATGGATAATGAAATCAGGAACAGAGGAAGAGACTGAGGGACAGTAGAGCTTTGAACACGCTGAATCTGAGGTACCTACAGGATCCCCAGTGAGGTGAAATCTGGTGCTCAGGAAAGAAATCTGAGCTGGAAAGTTAAATCAGAGCAGCACTCTCTTACCGTATGAACACAGAGGAAAAAACCCAGGGAACACTAATGAGAAAAGGAGGCAGCCAGGGGCGCCTGGGTGGCTCAGTTGGTTAAAGAGACTGCCTTCGGCTTGGGTCATGATCCTGGAGTCCCGGGATCGAGTCCCACATCGGGTTCCCTGCTCAGCGGGGAGTCTGTTTCTCCCTCTCCCGCTCCCCCCTCTTGTGCTCTCTCTCTAATAAATAAATAAAATCTTAAAAAAAAAAGAAAAGAAAAGGAGGCAGCCAGATTCTTGAGGAAGGATAGCACAGAAAGGACAAGTCACAATAAGGAAGCCAAAGAAGGTAAGAGCAGCCAGAAGAGCCAGAGAGAAGGAAGCAGCAATGTAAACGACTACAGAAAAGTCAAGTAAGATGGGCATGGAGACGGTCCTTTGGAACAGCAAGTTAAGAAGCTGAAAGTGCAGTTTCAGTGAAGTAGAATATTGACCAGAGAGGGTGAGAGAGAAGAAAAGGTAAGGAAACTGACTGACTGCAAGATAACCACCCTTCATATGCAAGAGACTCTGTTATAGAAGGAAGGAAGAAGGAAAGATGCTCTGCCTAGTGGGGGACTTACAGGGAAAAGGGACTTGCATACTGAGGGGAAGGAGATTACGGAAGGGAGACACCTGCAGAAAGAGCATTCTTCAGTGAGGGGCAAAGGGGGAGGGGGGTTCAGAAAAGAGGTAAGAAGTGCCTTAAACAGGAGGTGGGAGAGACAGAAGAGAAAGAGGTAAAGACAGTTACGGATTCAGAAGTTATAGACAGGAAGGCAGGGAACCTTTGTTTTTGTTAGTTGTTTTGGGTTGCTCCTTTTGGGGAAGAAGCACAGGACAGCTGCCAAGAGGAAGTCTCAGGTGTGGTAAGGCTAATGACAAATCTCACGGCATATGGCTGGGGCACACAAACTGCCTGAAGCATGGCAAGTGTGTGGTGTAGGAACCCTCTCTCATATTTACTCCCAGTGGGGGTGGGGGAGTTCTCCGAATACACACGTTCCTAAGAAACAAGTAAGCCGAAATCAAGTTCTTCATTATGTGTCACGGCAGACAGTTCATGCACAGTATCCGTCAAATGTCAGAGTGGAGACAATACACAATTCTTTATCAGGACTGCATTAAATCTGATTTATGATTCCTGCCACTATCGCTTCAACTCATCTAAGCACTTATCCCCCAATCACTGTGTACAAAGTGCTGTGCAGAGGCTGCTCGACAAGATTTTTGTTGGGCACGACTCAACAGGCAACAGGACTTCACAACCTCTGTAACTAGGGCAAAAACTGCTCTAGGTCAACCCCACCCTAAATCACTACATCACAAACTAAGCACATTTTACAGGAAACCTCCCTGAACACACACAAACACAAAGGCTCCTTTTTCTGCCCCTTTTTCCTCCTTCACGATGGTGACTTTTTCCCCACTGCAGAGACCCAAGGGACTATTTATTTTACTTCTTACCAAGACAAAACAAAACAGAGAATAATAACCATCCTTAAGTACATGTTACAGAAGAAAGAAAAATAGTGGGAGTCAAGAAGGAAAAAATAGTGGGAATTAGGAAACCTGGGCCCAATCTCTGGCTCTGCCACAAACCACTGGTTATCTTAGGGGACTCATGGAACCTGTGATTTCTGGTTTATAAAGCAAAGCAGTTGAGTTGGCCATCGATGACACTCCTAGCATCCCAAATCTTCCCCCAAGCTCTTCCCTTAGAGTCCCAACAAGTGATTTGATTTTTGCTTTGGGCCTCATCTGACATTGCTTTGGTTTGCCTTTTATAATTTTTTGCAAAATTAAACCTTAGTTTATTTTTATTTATGTCCTAAAATCAATCTTTCTGTATTTTTGCAGGTTTAAAAAAAAGGTAATTATCACTGGAGTATGTCATCTATAAATAGCATTGCTACAATCTGAGAAATTAAATTATTTAAATTTGTCACTTCTATGAAAAATAGAATATGAGCCTTCTTAAAATAAACCTTTATTTTATAGAACTTTATAGAATGTGGGTGTGGTGTTTAGAAAAAGATTAACTAACCTATTGGTTTAAATCCTATACATCCTACTATAAATATAAATTTGACCATCGTTCCAATTTTCCCTTCAGTTAGGATGATCCTTAATATCCAGTTACTAAATAAAGTAAGAGTCAAACAAATCTGTAAAGCTTCAAATTTCATAAAACTTCTCTTTACCCTTCAAATAAAATCTTAAGGCCTAGATCTACAGAGAACTTTTTTCCCCTTATAAAGAAAAGAGAAAAAAGAAAAGAAAAGGGGGGGGGGGAAGAGGAGTTGGAAGCATGGCCCTGAAAAGAAGAAGAATGAAGTCTATCCAACTGGCATGGCAATATTAGACATGAGGTTCTTTCTTTCCATAGCACCGTAGTACAGAAGCAGCAGAACCCTGGGCTCCAGGGAAAAGACAGAAACTGGTTCAAGACATGCTTTACCCAACCCCAGGATGAAGACAACAAAGCAACAGCTATTGATGATCTCCTCCTATGGGGAATGGACATGGCAGTATTGACTTGATCAGGAGCTGGCTTACTCTTTCGGGGAAAAGGTAGCTTGCCAAAACTCACCAAACCAAATTATCACCCACTTTCCTTGATTCTATGCCAGAAGAAACGTAGAATTTATTTCCAGTGATTCTGGGTAAGAAGCAGAACTTGGGAGGACTACAGTGCTGAAATTTTAAGAGAAAGATGAAATGTGAACAGCTGAGTTCATAGATGGCATCTAAAAGTGAAATTTGGTTTCTGGACTGTATTGGAAAGAACAGAATAATAACACTCGTCTTGAGAAAAGTTTCATCTTTTGAATCTGACTTTATGGACAACTACTAAGTTGATGAAGAATACTTAACTAAAACATAAGGGATGAAATTGGTACAAATGGATGAATACTGTAAAAACAGGTAAGACCCATGAAAAACGGTGATAGAGAAAGAGTCCATTCAACAGTGTTCCATACCAGGGTACAGAATGCAGCCATGCTCAAACAGGGTTCTGAGTCCTTCATCCATTCTTTCCTCCTCACCTTCACCTCTGGTGGGGAAGTCTTCACATAACACAAGTTAGGCTGAGAGGCCCTTGATATTAGCCAGCTGTGGCAACAACGGGCCCTTGAAAGAAACTGTTAGGCCTCCAGACTTTCACACATCCTTGCCCTATGACTGGAATGCCCTCCATTCCCATCCTTCAAATGCACTCCCTCACTCTCCTTCCTTGGTAGGATGGAGCTGGGAGCTGGGTGGGAAAGGAGAGAGAAAAGAAAGGAGACAAGAGGAAAGGAGCTTCCATCCAAGATGGAAAGACAACTCAATGAGAATAGTAAGAGAGTGCCACACAGAGCCTGTTCATGTGTTCGATTTGGCCACAGGGGAAAGGGAGTTACTACAGAAGGACCTAACATGAGTAACTTAAGTATAGGTGTCACTTGTATCCAAGTTCTCATGATCCAAGCTCAGGAACTAAACAGATTTGGATAGCAAGGGATATCTGCACTGTTAAAAGAGTAGATCTGGGGCGCCTGGGTGGCTCAGTTGGTTAAGTGACTGCCTTCGGCTCAGGTCATGATCCTGGAGTCCCAGGATCGGGTCCCGCATCGGGCTCCCTGCTTGGCAGGGAGTCTGCTTCTCCCTCCTCCCTCTCATGCTCTCTGTCTCTCATTCTCTCTCTCTCAAATAAATAAATAAAATCTTTAAAAAAAAAAAAAAGAGTAGATCTGGATATTAAACAAACTTGCATATACTACAAAGACTTGGTGGCAGGGACTCATTGCTGAAATAGAGACTAGGAAAGGGTATATATCTTATCTAAAAGAGAAAGTTTTAATAAGCGTGTTGACAAATAGTTATTGCATTTCAAAAAATTACAACTAAGGTGGAAGTAGGGTCAAGGGCATTAGAGCCAGGATGAAAGGGAGAAATACAAAAAGGAATATACCCCAAGTGGTTCAGCCAGATGAACAATGAGCAAAGATTTCACAACAGATCATAGAGCTATATAGGTAGAAAATACAGCAGCAAGAGAAGATCCCCATGTACGTAAACAGTGATTGGAAGTTTCCACTAGAAATGCAATAGAAACAGAAAGACTGGATGCTGAATACCTGGATTCAAATCCTCTTTCCACCACCTTTCACTTCATGTGTTTTCTCTGAGCATTGGCTATGTTTTGTGCAAAATGGGGATGAGAATAGTTTTCCAAAAGAATTGCTGTGAAGCTTTAATGAGATTTATTTTACAAACTCTATAAAAGCATTTTCATTAAAAAATGTTTTTATAAAAGCATTTTATAAACTCTAAAACTCTACAGAGTTTCTATTATTTAAGTTTCAAAAGTCAAGAAAAAAAGAATTATCCTATATAAACCTGGAAAATGTCACAGAGAAAGAAAAGAAAATTTCTAAAGCATTGGCTCTTAACTCTTGGCTGCACATTAGAATCATCTAGGGAAATTAAAAAAGCAAAAACAAAAACCACGAAGTGGGAGCAGCCCAGAGATGCTGATTTAATTATCTACAGTGGGACCTGACCATTGTTAACCTTTTTCAAGTGTGATTAAAAAAAAAAAAAAATTCTATTTCTAGGTGAAGCCAAGACAGAAAGAACATGGCCACACTGGAAAAGCTCTGAAGTTTTACTTCCAAAAGCACTAAAACTCATGGGTGGCTCTTTTGTCATAATTGTATTATATCATTTATTACACTGTATTTTATTCATATCACCAGAACACAAAACCTCATATCTGCCTCCACCATTACACAGTGATCTGGAATGTCTTATTCAATATTATTTACCCCAACACCTAGCAAATACAATACTTGAAACAAAACAGTAACAATAATGACAGCTAATAATTGAGTGCTTATAACGTATCAGGCATTATACTAATTGTTTATAAGTGTTATTTCCTATAAAATTAACCCCCAGAAGTTCCCTATGTTGTTAAGTATTATCATCATTATTTTCAGACAAAAAAACTTGGGCTCAGTAAAGTGAAATAACTTGCCCAAAGTTACCACTATTCTTCAACCTCCTCTGATTAAAACAGCCTTCAAACATTTTTGTCCAAAATCCTTCAATAAATGATTTTTTTTTTCCGTAATTACATGACTCGGGTTCATACAGGGCTTGATCATTCGGAAATGTCATTTCTCAATGTGGACATAAAACATGTGTTGGAGACTGAACTATAGCTGTACCAAGCCTGAGGCTTCTAGGAGCTTATTTGCTTTTAAATAAATCCTTGTTAATGTGTTTGTTTTGTTGTAATTTGCACTTTTTCCTATGACTGAAATACAGCCCAGAAACAAAAAAAATGGAGGTTATCTAATTGAGATGTTATTATTTGAGGAGTAAGGAGGAATTTGGACTATGTCAGAAGATCAAGTTGCAGTATGTGAAGGAGAACTATGTCCCGCCTGAGTGTCCCAGGATGCTAGAGAAAGCAAACAAGACAGAGACAACAATCTGATTCTGGAGAACTACATCTGTCTCTCATCAGCAAATGTAAAGGGGGGATGCTCTTCACCTTACAATGCTCAAGCTGCTCTGCTGGTGGCGCTGAATTCCGATCCCGTCCATCCTTCCGAGCACACCCTATGTGGCCAAGTCTCGCTGACTCCAAGGTTAAAGTCAGCTCAGGTCACCAAAATGTGTTTACATATCTAATCAAGTAACTTAAGTAACTCAAGAGTATCTTCTTTTCGGTCTCTTTGTCATTATCCAACACAGTCTAAGATTCTTCCCAACTATAATAAAATAAGCTTTTTAAAAGCTTTTTTTTTTTTAAAGGAGGAAAATCTGACTAACAACACAGTCAAAAAAGCAAACGTCCAGTCCTGATTTAGCTAAAAGGCCTCTTCAACAGTTAAAAGTTAAAAAAGAGGGCGCCTGGGTGGCTCAGATTGTTAAACATCTGCCTTCAGCTCAGGTCATGATCCCAGGGTCATGGGATCGAGTCCCGCATCAGGCTCTCCCTGTTCCTTGGGGAGCCTGCTTCTCCCTCTGCCTCTGCCTCTCTCTCTCTATCATGAATAAATAAATAAATAAAATCTTTAAAAAAAAAAAGTCAAAACAGACATCTTGGAGGCACCCCCCCACTTGCTAAATGGGATGCTGCTTCATTCATAAATTATTTATTTAATAAAGATCTTTAGATTTTTTTTTTGGTAAAGATTTTATTTATTTTTGACAGAGAGAGCACAAGCAGGGGGAACAGCAGAGAGAGAGGGAGAAGCAGACTCCCTGCTGAGCAGGGAGCCCGATGCGGGACTCGATCCCAGGACCCTGAGATCATGACCCGAGCCGAAGGCAGATGCTTAACCGTCTGAGCCACCCAGGCGCCCCCTAGATTTTTTTTTAAAGTCAAAACAGAAAAACTAGAAAAGCCATCTAAATATCTATGAAATTATTATATACTCCTACCATGGAACAAATATTTAAGTTTTAGAAAACATGGAGAAATTAATACACAATACAATTAAGCAGAAAGAAGATGCAAAACTACATATGAACATAATTTCAAACTTTTAAAATACATCTTTAAAGACCTTTTTGTCTTTTATCCTTCTAAATATACACTGAAACATTAACAGTCATTGCCTCAGAGTGGCAAGTTTTAGATGAGTTATCCCTTTCTTCTTTATATGTTTCTGTATTTCCCACGTTTTCTAAAATGAATTTGTAACAATGACCATGTGGGGATCTTATGAGAACACACCCTAGTATACTGGCCAGGGAACCCAAATTTTCTGCACAGAAGATGGGGCTGGCAAAACAAAGAAACGTACCTTATTTTGGGCCCCAAATTCTAGTGAGTCGGACTGCACGATGCTGAGAATTTCTTTTTCCTCTGCTACACAGACCTAAGGAGCTCAAACCAAAGTTTTCTGCCTATAGTAATGCTACACCCAAAACTATACCAATCTTTGAATCTCATCACTGGTGGAAAAAAGGGACTGCAGCTAGCATCAAAGAAAAATGGGGGAAAGAGACAGAGAAAAAAAAAAGAGTTTATGTCTACAGACACCCACCAGGGGCCTTTTTAAGCCACTCTGTCTTGCCAAGTAGGAGGTAAAAGCTTAGCCCTGGGAAGAGAAAAAAACCCAGGATCAGCTTCCTGATCAAGTGGACAGAAGCACAGGAGGAACATGGGCTTGGCTTATAAACTCAGCACGTGGCATTACTCACTGGCACAGAGGCCAAAGTTCTTGGTTGAGTGGTACTGCTCTTTGGGATGGAAGTGAAGTGACCTATACACCCTTGGAGGTGGAATACAGTGAGAAAGACAAGCAGTGGGGGATGCATAAGGTCAAGCCTTGAACTACCCCAAAGCCAAACATGCATATATTTCTTCTATAATCGTGTGTATGTGTGTGTGTGTGTGATTATACACAAAGAGACAAAGTATGCATCCTCTTGATTCTGAATATAGTGATATTTGACCATAAACAGATCTAAAATGTTTTTGACCAAACAGCCAATTTTATAAAGGGATCCAAAATATTCTGGAAATAATTTTGCTTCGAAGCATTATTGTTATTGCATTTTGATAACTGAAACATCAACTAGCAGTAACCAAGAGGTATCATTCATAAGTAGATCCAGCAAGTTTCATTACAAATGATGTGTTCATATTGCCAAAAACCTGGAGTGCCATAAACCCAATAAATCTTAGCTGGCTGAAGATGCTTTCAAGTCATGGGCCTGCCATATCGCTTCTTCACACCCAACACTGTGTGCCTGACAGTCAAGCCAGGCTGACTCCTGAGCTGCACACAGGTACAGTCTCCAAATCAATCCTGGCCTCTGCCAGTTCTTTCAACCCTCACCATGAAAATCAGATCGCATAAAAACCAGCACAAGGTGCTCGTTCTGGCTCCAGGCTTTTCCTAGCAAACTACAATTTAGAACCTGCCCAGCCTCCGCCTGGTACGGCCTGGCCAATTCTAGTTGGTTCAGGCCTTGGTCATCTCCCTGTAGAAGGTGAAGATTAAATGGAAGAGTGTGTGAATACATAGATAACAAAGGGAAGTCTGTGAAATCAAAACAGGGTAATTCCCTAAGTTATCAAAATGTTACTATCATATGGGTATACTTCCACTCTAAAGGACAGACAAAGCTGTCCTACCTCACTAGTTATTAAAGACATGCAAATTAAAACAGTAAAATGCTACTTCTCACTTATGGACACAAAGATTTCTATTTTGTAACAGTGGGACTTAAAGACATTCTTACACACGGCTAATGGCACAATCCTGTAAAATAAGGTTATCAGGGGCGCCTGGGTGGCTCAGTTGGTTAAGCGACTGCCTTCGGCTCAGGTCATGATCCTGGAGTCCCGGGATCGAGTCCCGCATCAGGCTCCTTGCTCAGTGAGGAGTCTGCTTCTCCCTCGGACCCTCCCCACCATGCTCTCTCATTCTCTCTCTCTCAAATAAATAAATAAAATCTTAAAAAAATAAAATAAAATAAAATAAGGTTATCAGGGTGACTTAAGGATCTTCAAAACAGAGAGCCACTGAACCAGGAATTTCACTTCTCTATATCCTAAAGAAAAATCAAAAGTAACTGTAGCTTTCTTACAGATTTTAATAATTCATATATGTAATGAATAATAACCATTTTCTGCTCCTAAAAAAAAAGTGAAAGATATATGTAAAAAATCTTCATCACAACCAGAAACCATCCCTGAATAGGTCATCATATACCTTCACTCAATGATCTGAAGAGTTTTTGTCCCAAAAATTATCATAATACGGGGCACCTGGGTGGCTCAGTCATTAAGCGTCTGCCTTCGGCTCAGGTCATGATCCCAGGGTCCTGGGATCGAGCCCCACATCGGGCTCCCTGCTCCGCAGGAAGCCTGCTTCTCTCTCTCTCCCTCTCCCACTCCCCCTGCTTGTGTTCCCTCTCTCGCTGCCTCTCTCTGTCAAAAAAATAAAATCTTTAAAAAAAATAAAAATAAATAAATTATAATACAATATGAAATGAAAATCACGTAATGCAAAACTGTACATGCAGTTTGATGCCAATTATGTTAAAACACACAGAGAAGGGAGAAAAAGCAAGAAAATAATATGCCAAACAACATCCATACATTTTCAATTTTCCTCTTTCAATTTTTACATATTTTCTAAGTTTTCCACAATAACTTAGATAATATTCTTATCAAAATAGATTTTATCTCATAATGAACTTCAGCAAAAGAATCCAGACACAAAAGAATATATACTTAATGCAAATCAAAACCACAATGAGGGGCGCCTGGTTGGCTCAGTCAGTGGCGCAAAAGACTCAATCTCAGGGGTTGTGATTTCAAGCCCCACATCAGGGGTAGCATTTACTTAAAAGAAAAGATGCCACTTAAAAAAAAAAAAAAACCCACAATGAGATACCACTTCACACCCACTAGGATGGCTTCAATAAAAGACACACAATAACAAGTGCTGACAAGAATGTACAGAAACTGGAACTTTCATGCATTGCTGATGGGAATATAAAATGGTGCAGCTACTGTGCAAAACAGTTGGGCAATTGCTCAAAAAGTTAGACATGGAGTCACAATATGACCCAGCAATTTCACTCCTAGGCATATACCCAAAAAAATGAACACATATGCCCACACAAAAATGTGTGCATGAATGTTCAGAGCAGCATTATTCGTAACAGCCAAAAAGTAGAAACAACCCAAATATTCATTAATGGGTGAATGGATAAACAAAACATGGTATATTCATGTAATGGAGTATTTTTCAACCATAAAAGGGAATGAAGTATAATGATGAACCTTGAAAATACATGCTAAGTGAAAGAAGCCAGATGCAAAAAACCACATGTTGCAGGATTCCATTTATACGAAAGGCAAATCTATAGATACAGAAAGTAGATTAGTAGACACCCAGGGCTGGGAGGCTGGGGGGAAATGAGGAGTGACTGCAATTAGGAATGGGGTTTCTTTGGGGGGATAATAAAAATGTTCTAAAACTGATTGTGGTTATGGTTGCACAATTCTGTGAATATACTAAAAACCATTGAATTGTACACTTTAAATGGGTGAATTATATGATATGTAAGTTATATCTCAATAAAGCTGGTGTGTTTTTTTTTTTAATTTTAAGTAGGCTCCACGCCCAATATGGGGCTCGAACTCATGATGCTGAGATCAAGATTTACATGCTCTACTGACTGAGCCAGGCAGGCGCCCCAATAAGGTGTTTTTAAAAAGAATATATACTTTATTATTTCACTCACAATAAAACTCATGAACAGGCAAAGCCTGTTAGAGGTGTTAGAGGTCAAGAGAATGGTTCCCTTGGGGAGGAGGGAGAAGGTGGAACTTGGGAAAGGGCCATCGAAGGAGCTTCTGGAGTGCTGGTGATGTTCCACCTCTTGATCTAGTTGATACATTATCACTTTAGGATAATTCACCAAGCTGTACACTAACGATGTATGCATTTTTCTGTATGTATGCCGAACTTCATTAAAAAGTTAAAAAAAATTAGGGGGGCTGGGTAGCTCAGTCAGTCCTCGCTCAGCAGGGAGTCTGCTTGTCTCTCCACCCCCACTCATTCTCTCTCTCT